TTGTTTTAAATGCACGCTGCAGATCGACGAAAACACTTTCCTTCATCAATATCCTTTTTCCACTTAGCGAAAATATACATAAAAGCATTAGCGTGAATATGCGAGATTAGAATTAGTAATTGATGTTTTAATTAATATCCAATATCCAATATTTTCAATTAAACTTCAAAAGTGTGCAAAAACCCTTAGGGGTAAACCAAGTCACGAGCAAACGCAAAAGCTATAAAATATCAAATTGGTCGATAATATTTAGGTATGCTTAAATAATGTTTTTAGAAAAGCTTCTGGTCATTTCAAAATTAACTACAATGTTATTTAATATTTGTAGCACTATGGAGTTTAATTAACCGTTAAAAAAGAACGATATGTTCTTATACTTTATATAAAATTTATAAATCATTTTTTAATATTGCAATAGCGTTACCATATTTCTTAATTAGGTTCTTTTCGAATTATTCAGCATTTAGAAACCTTGACAAAATTAAAACTAAAAAAATTAAGCTTTAAATCTGCACCATTTGGAAAAAAACTACATAAGTCACTGGGTACAGCTGTGCTTTATTTTGAATGTGCTTCTCACCAGGCATCGACGAACAGCCTGTTTTAGACTTGGTGCTGGAAAGCCCTGTGGCCCAAAGCACACTTGAACAAAATGTCTTTGCCGCTCTTATAGTAGCAAAGCTACAGGAACAGCGGTGGCAACACAGAGTTCTATCTTCTTTGTATGTATTACATATTTTATTTTAAATGTCCTTGGACAATGGCTTTAATTATAAATACTCAAAATATTAAAATAACAAAAATTAAATTAAATTTTTAAACCTTCGCGTAGTATGGAGTTGCTGCGGAATTTTTGAGAGCGTCCAAAATATTACAAAACCTAGCTTATTTAAGATTATTAAAAAAAAATATGAATGCCATTGTACTCACAAAAGATGTGTTTTTGTAAATTAATGTCACTGTGCGAATTTTTCCTACTGTTTTTTTTTTAATTTTGAACTACTGTACGAATTTGTTTATCATTTTTTAAATGTATCTCATACGAATTTTTCCTACTATTTTTTAAATGTATGCCACCGTGCGAATTTGTCCTACCAAATTTTAAATTTATCATTCTGTGTGAATTTGTTTTAACATTTTTTAATTTCATGCTACTGTGCCAATTTTTCCAGGTAATTTTTAATATTGAATTAGTTTTCAATTACCCGAAACATTAATTTTAGTGCAGTTTTTACCCGGTTATAAATAAATTAAATGTATGGACAGTTTTTATTTATTCAATTTTGTTTCCATTTAGACATTTTATACATTAAAAATTCGTTATCATCGTTCGTTCGTTATCATCGTTCACATCATAGCAGCGTTAATCTTACGCGTGAAGATTAATTTCACCCCGGCCGGCCGTAGCATAGATGTTTAGGTCTACATCAACAAGTATAGAAATGTTAAAAACCCATTTTAGAACCACAAAAATAAAAATAAAAAACTCGTTTCCTAGTATTTTGTTTTACCAATTTACTATTCAACTCGTTTTTTTTTTAAGAATTACTTATTGTTACCATTACAATTACAATTTTGCGACATACAGTTTGTTTTAAAATGTAGATCTTAATAAACTGTATTTTTAGAGCAATACAACAATTGATGAGAGTTAATTTTTAAGAATTCATATATGGTGATTTAAAAAAAATCTTTGCAAGGCACTGGATTCACAAGCTCTTAAAACGAGGCTATACTAAATTTTATTGAAATTTTTTAAGTAGGAACGATTTTGTGGCTAAATTAAAAATGCACAATACACCGAAAAAAATAATGTAGTTGAGTTAACATTTGCCTAAATGTCATTTTTGAAAATGTTGTTTCAACAAAAAACCTATTGGATTAATCTATATTTTGGTGTTAAAGCAATAGTCAGAGTTTGTCAAAGTTTATTTGTTCATTTGACAGTTAAAATATTGATTTAACATAAACTAATATTTTGAATTAAAATGTTTATCATATTTTGATTTAATAGCTGGAATAGGTTGAATCGACCAGTGACATGTTTAGGATTACCTAAAAAAACTATTAAATTAACGTTTAGTTGCTCTTTAATCCAAAACATTAAATTTGTTCATTTAACAAATTGTAAATGTTACCTTAAAATTTAAAATGTAAAATTTGCATTCATAAAATTGCCGAGAATGGCGCTTCGAACACCCGCGCCACGTCATTAGACGATGACGTGTTCTTACATCTCGCCTTAGTTGGCTTACGATTAGGGGTATATAAGATGAGGTAGCTGTTTGTTTTAGGTGTGTTCCACAGTGCCACTGTGACAGTGGAACTTTCACTACACCATATTGCCCGACACTGATAAGACCCTCAATACAGGGCGAAACAGCTGTCTGTCGGTATTAAAAGTAGGTGGAACTGTTCCACTGGAACACGCTCAAAACAAAAACTCTGGGCGAGGTGAAGGTTCAATTCTTTCTCTTTATATATAATAATATATTATATCCATAATTTTATTTTGAATACCAACCTTTAAGGAATTTTAAATTTTCAGAATGTTAATTTAACATTTTATTGGTGTTAAGTGAATATGCTAAAAAGGTTACCTGGACATTTCAAGAAATTCACCTTAACACCCTAAGAATGTTAAATTAACCAAATTAGCAGATTAGAACAAATATTCTCATTTTGTTCATTTGACTGTTATTTGTTGTTCAATTAAACAATACAATTTGACATTTTTAGATGGTTAAGTAAACGTGCAAAAACCATTGCTTGTATTTAAAGTGCATAAAGAGTTGAATTAATATTTTTGTTGTTGTTTCAACAGCTTATTTTTTTCAGTGTAATAAGTAAAAAAATTTAAATAAAATTAAAATAATAATATATTATAATATTGTATAAATATTCTTATGCTTAGTTTTAACAAACAAAAAACGCAATATAAACTTAAAACTATAATAAAACAAAAAGTAGAGAATTCCCACAATTCTCTACAATTAGATTTTTTTCACCTCTACTAATCCACCATTTAAATCAATACGCTTTCATATTTGTTCTGGAGTATTACCCTAGCCCGTAGTTCTTGTACAGTAGAGGCAGGCCCATTCCTGGGGTGTCTGGCGCCTACGTGCAGCATTCTTTGGTGCGCCCCTTTTATATTATAAATATAAAACATTAAATATTTTGGTTTTTTAGCCCTAAAATTTAAAAAATATATATTTTCTGGCAATATGTAATTAAAAATGTAAAAAACTGCTGAATTTAAGTATAAAAAATATTTATTAAATTACCAAAGGGTATTTCCGCGAAACAAAATAAAAACTATATCTGAAGTCAAATAGTTTTATTGCGATGTAATTTATAACTTTAAAATATTCGTACATTGTAATGCTAAGAAGCTAGCAATGCTAGCCTAGCATTACTTAAGAATAAACACGTAAGAGTTTCAATACAAAGTTTAAATGTCACACCCGATACATTTTGAGAAAATTTTAGAAAATAAAGTACCTATAAAATATTTTTGCATTTAAAATACGTGCTTGTTTGAGGTTACTATTCAAGTTTTACACAAAAAATTATTACTACCTATATGCTTTTATCCGAAATTTTACATTATCAACTTTAGAAGCCAACTTGGTCGCATTTGCCGATTTTGTATATTAACGTATATTATCATGAAAAACGCAGTGTCAGTGTCTCACCCGTTACAATTGAAATACCACGAAACAAACAAAATCACAAAAAATATTTAATAGTAATAAAAATACCCTAAATAAAACAAAAAAAAACTATATAAACAATATAATTACTTCAACTGGTTTTTAGTGACGTAAGCTCGTTACAAAGTGTATACTGTGTACACTGTGCAGACTACTGTTAAAAGTTGCTACCGTCAACTGCAACTATCAAGCAAATACTAAACATATTATGACAATGTCTGTCCTTTTGTTTAAATACTTATATCAAAAACGCGCTTTATAGCGGTCGAAATAAGGCTGTAATGCGGCCGACGCAAATAAATTACAAAATGAAATTAAGGACATCCCATCAATTACAAAAACTGTTTTTACTCTTTTATTTAATTTTTAAACTTTTAATTTGTTAGTCTGGGTATTTAACTTAATATTTTTAATGATTTTAAATAATATATTTAAATCTTAATTTAAGTGTAACCTCTTGACGTTTTCGATATCATTGTAATGATCTTATGGCAATAAAACTATTATTATTATTATTAAAACCTTTATCCTATGTTTTAATTTGTTAGTCTGGGTATTTAACTTAATATTTTTAATGATTTTAAATAATATATTTAAATCTTAATTTAAGTGTAACCTCTTGACGTTTTCGATATCATTGTAATGATCTTATGGCAATAAAACTATTATTATTATTATTAAAACCTTTATCCTATGTAGGTTTAAGTATTTGTTGATTGTCCCTTTGATTTTGCGCCCCCAAAATGTACGTTTGCCAGGAACGGCTCTGAGTAGAGGTGATAAAAATCCAATTTTATTTTTGCTCAAAAATAAGTTTTATCAATATCTACACTTTAAAACAAATCCTGTTAAAATCTCACAATAAATAAAGATCGTACAGGGTTAAGTCGCAAACAAATGGGTATATATTCCAAAGTTCTTTTGAAAACAACTATTTTTTTCACCCACATACAAATATATACAAGGGTGTTGACAATATCTAACTTTGTTTATGGGAAATAAATATAGATGTAAGAACTTATGTTAATTCTAAATTCAATTTAGTAAATTGTGTTTGGTTCAATGAATTTTCAATTTTCGATTAAAAATTGTTATCTTAAAATTCTTTCACAGTTTTGGACTTTTCTATAGTTGTATTAAATTTATATGTATTTTTAAGCTGCTTGCAAATATTTACCTCTAAAAATATGCATATACATGTATAAGCAAAATTTTCGTCTTAAAGTTCACTCTGCACTTTAATATTTCTTTATTTAAACAAAACAAAACAAAACAAAAACTTACCTGAACACACATATTACTATTGATAGGTTGGCTATAATGGATATTAAAAATATGAAAACAAATATTGTGACTTCAAGGGCAACAAAAGCAATAGGTCGGCTATTAAGTTCCGAGAAATAAGTGAAAAAAAATCTTTCTCCCCATCCACTTTCCTTATCCACACCGAAAACATAAGAGGAGTTCCATTCACCATTCACCATATCTAGAAAAATAAAGAAAACATAACATTATATCGTTCATGTTAAATATTTCTGTGTTGCGCTAAGCTACGACCGTGCACCTTAGTGAGCAGCAATATTTTGCACATTCAATATGATTTCGAATAGTACCCTATTGACTGGATTATTGTTTTATTTATCATTGATATTTTGGAGGCTCCCAAAATTATCAATGGTTAGTTTTTGTTGTCTATATACAAGTAATTTTAGTATTACTATTATTATTTACTTTTACTCTTTAGTAAAGAGTCTTTACTATTACTATTTACTTCCCAGGAACTATTATATAAATTACAAATATATTTGTAATTTATATAATAGTTCCTGGGAGGTATCCTAGCCAGTACTCATTGATGTGACAAAAGTAACTATTGCCTTTGTCAAAGTACTTTGGCAACAGCAATAGTTACTTTTGTCACATCAATAAGAACTGGCAGAAATAAGTGCACGGAGAAAAAAACAGTTACCATCTAAATCATACAGTTTATAATAAAGCCCTAGCTAGACATTGTATGAATTAGATTGAATGGATTACTGTTCTGCGCATCAATGGTTACTGTTTTTTTTTTCTCCGTGCACTATGATTTTTTATTAATTATACATAATTTAGCACTGGTGGCCGATCTTCTGATCCAGTTAACAGGAAAAACAGGGGATAAGAATCTTCTATCAGGTCAATGCACATCAATGAGAAAGTTTCATTTCACGACAGGGATTTGATACATCATGTAATTTTAATTTAACACCCGTAAAATACTGCCTTTTTTATAGCTTTTAAATATTTATAAAGTTTGTAAGTTTGTAAATTTGTTAATTAATTATAATTATTTATATCTTAGGTAATCTTTGTTTATGTTGTTGTTTTGTCTGTCAGATTTTCCAGTATTTTACAGCACATTTACAACGTTTTTGTTGTTTTTTTACTTAGTTTTGTACTTACTACTTTTTAGTCAAGGAATAGTTGCACACGTATGCTAAATCGGGGAATTAGTAAGTACTAAACACAAAAGCGCTCACTCCTAGTATATCAAATTTGGATTTTTTAGTAGCTATTCCCCAAAGGTTTGAGTTCTCCAGTATACTTATTCATTATAGGAAGTAGGGGGACATCGGCCATGGTGGGATATTACTGTTAAGAAATAGATAAAATCATTTTTATTCTTAACATTCCAGTCAAAAATAAAATGGTTTTTAATCCTAAAACGTTTTTTTTTTGCTGTAACTGGTAATCTGAGAAAACGTATATGTATATGGTATATATTGTGCGACTGGTGGTAGAAAGCTCCTTTAAAAAAAAATCATAACTTGGTTATATTAAAAAAGTGAATTTGTTGGTTTTGTAATGGTCAATATACAATTAAAACATGCTAACTGCATTTATGTATTTTATTTACAGTTTTATACATCCCATTAAAAACACCATTAAATTAATATTCAAATTTTATGGTCCCATTTATTAGTTAATAGAGAAATTATGTGACATTCGTATTTGATTATACAATAAAACTATTACGGTCTATATTAAGTTTCTAATACGCATATCTGGGTATAATTTGGTCAATATTGTCTGCCTTGCCAATATTAATCAAAATATATTAAAACTACTCTACCCCTGTCACTTACTTAAAGAATACTTTATAATATAATATTATGAACCCCTCAAAAATTAACTAAAGTCGTCGCGGCAAATGTTTCAAATTGCGTCATCAATGTCGAATGTCAAAAACCGATTTCTCGCCATACGGTACACCTAGCCGATTCTGTCAAAAAATAACGGGATATTTTGTGTAAATTAGCCTTAATTACAAAAATGACACAATCAACAATAATTAAGTAATGTCAAATTTACAATTTGCATTGTATCATTGTGTCAATTTTGTAATTAAGGTAAATTCATACAAAATGTCCCTCTATTTTTTGACAGAATCTGGTCACTTTAACCTAGCGGTTCCTTGGATTATATACTTAATAGAAAACAATAATAATTGTAATGCCTGTGCTTGGTTCAGAATTTGATGACGCAATCTGAAACATTCGCCGCAACAACTATAGGCGGGTTACCACAATAATTTTAAATTGATGATTTTCGAATGCAATTTAAAAAGTTTTGATAAACAAGTTTTCTAATTTAACTATAAGGTTTTAAGTCAAATGGTTATGAACCCCAAATCAAAATACATTTAAATTTTGAATTTGAGTTAAGAACAGCAAAGTATTTTATTTTTCATGACACTGTAGCTAGCAGTGCAGCGTACTGTTAAAAACATATATATATATATATATATATATATATATATATATAATATATATATATATATATATATATATATATACAAAATTCTATCATTGCTGCGTCCATACATTTATAAAATCCCTATTCTTATTGCGTCAACGACCTTACTGCGTCAGTATATCTGACGCACTAATGTCAAGCGCTTATTTCTTAAAATATACTTCATCCCAGCCCTTTCTAAGATTCTTGCTAATACAGATCTGTGTAAAATTTAATGCCCAATTTTTGTGTCCAAAAATTTTTTATGTCCGACCCTGCGTTTTTTAAATATTTAGAAAAATTTGAACACAAAAAATGTGCAGTAACATACTAAAAATGGAAAAAATGTGTATATTTAGTTCAACCCATTTGACGATGAGGGCGTTGCGATAATATACGTTTTTCAATATACGTGTTTTTAAATACTGTATGTTGTTGCGTCGCACAATTTGGCAACGTCTCGCCTATGATTTTAATATTTGAATTAAACTTACGATACTGTTGCGAATAGTAGCGCTGTCTCTCTCGCACCGTGTGACGTCACGCTAGAGACAGTTGTTCTTTCGTTTAAATGTTATCATATTATAATCTTGGGGCGCGCGTCGAGTTTTATGAAATTTACAATTATGACGGTCGATTTATTAAAAGTGATTGTAAGATAAAATTGTTTTCTACATAAGTAATTGTGACAATGTATTTTTTAAATTATATATGCCGATGCAGATTTAAAGGCAGAAAAACGATTATCATTTTTTTACGCTTATAATCGTAAAAAAATGATCATCGTTTTTCTGTTAATTTTACTATTTCAAAAATAATAAAAGTTTTTCATGTTTTTAGATAGGTACTTAAAAAAAAGGTTAATATCAATGTAAATAACTACAATGTGTTTTTTGTTATTAACAGGTAATTCAAAAAAATTTTAAAAAAGTAAAACATCAATATTATAAATACAGGGTGTTTCTACTAAAAATTGACAATCTAAATTAGGCTTTCTAATAAATATTTTTCAATTGAGCTTTTGTTTTTGAATTATCAAACTTTGTTTTGAAGTAAAACTTTTTATGTAAGTTATTTATGGGGGGATTAAAAAACAATTAGTTTTAAGTAAATTTTGACATTTTTTCTTTAGTATCTTTAGTAGATTTATTACAGTTTTTACACAAAATAACAAAAACACAATACAAATTTGAATGTCAAATAAAAATAATAATAATATTACATCATATTATAATAATAACATTACTAAACAAAATTAAACATAATAATATCAATAAACAATGCAGTAGCAAGTTAAATAAGTAGTTTCGAAACTCGAATGTTGAGCGGTCTATGGAATGTCACCCCGTCCATCATCTCTATGTTCAGGCATAATTAAATACATGTAAATCTTAAAATCAAATAATACCACACAATGTTAGTTAAAAAAAATTGTCTTAATTTTAAAAACATTCAATCCCCCGGGGGCGTGGCAAAAATTATTTTTAAAAATTAAAAAAAAAACAGCTTATACAAATACCCTTCTCACAACTTTTTTTTAACTAAGTGAGATTTTCAAAAATAATTATTTCAGTCCAGCCTACCGAATTCTTGCCGCGCCCCCGGGGGATTGAATGTTTAAAAAAAAAATTTTAACTTACATTTTGAGTTTGGCATATTGAAAAACTATAAGGTATTTATTAATTTTAATTTTAAGCCCCTCCCCAAAGCTTTTAAAGTTCTAATATGCAGCGTGGTGCGCGGCGTAAAATTAAAATATATAAATATTTTTTTTGTGTGTCTTAAGTAAGTTAATACCCAATAGTTTTTTAATATGCCAAATTCAAAATTTAACTTATAAATATTTTTTATTGAATTTTGAGGAATTTCAACCCCCCGGGGGCGCGGCTAAATTTGTTTTAAAAAATTTGAAAAAAACAGCTTATTTGTGTAATTGGGTACCCTTCTTACAATGACAACGAACCCTCAAAAAAATAAAAGTTCCCGGGAATTTTTTGAATTTAGTAATTTTTTTTATGTTCACGGAAATTTTTGTACTAAAATTGTACACCTTTTTGTGGCCTAGTTTACACAATAGATTTGGTCAATAAGTAGGGAATTAACTTGAAAATTAGTAAAATTAGGGTAATTAGTAGGGAATTAGTGGAATTACTAGGTATTTTTTAAATTAAAATGGAATTATAATATATAAGGGGAATTAGTAAGGAAATAGAGGAATTAGTAGCAATCCTGGGAATTTGTGTACACATTTTCTTTTGCGGTTTACCCCGAGGGGTAAACCGCAGGGGAATTTTGGTGTACAATCTGTAGGAATTAGTAAGGAATTATAGGAATTTGTGGAAAATTAAAGGAATTAGTGGGGAATTTGGGGAATTACTCGGTAAATTAGTAAGCAAATAGTGGAATTAGTGGGGAATTAGAAAGAAATTTGAAGAAAATTTATGTCTCGTTTAGCACTTAAATATAAAGAAAAAAACCCGGAAGTTACAGAGCTACTCCATTCTTTGCCAGTTCCAGATTGGGAGTAGTACCACTGCAGCATTGAAAAAAATGAAGAATGTTGTGTACAGCACACCACCCATATTTTAACAAAAATTAGTACTCGTTTTCTAAAACCAGGAATACATCTGCCAATTGGGAAATACACTGTCTTCTCTGGTCATCTCAGGGAATTAATTTTAAAGTTTCCAAAAGACAAACATCTCCTGACAG